AGGGCTCCGGTTCCTGCTTTTGGTGCATCTAATGTCGGAGATGTCTCTCACCGCTCATCAGGCGAGCGGCCCCGCGTCGCAGTCGAATGGCGCAGGGGTAGTGGAAGGTGGACAACCCCGCCTGGGCTTCTGGGCTTCCGACTGGCGGTCTGGAACCTCTGAAGGTTTGTGGCTTCAGGTTTGGGTTTAGGGTCTGAAAGGTGCAGCTAGGGCATCAAGCTCCGCGAGCGTTTAGGGGGTCTGGAGAAAAGAGCTGAGCAAACCAATGAACATCGTGCAGGGTCTGTTGGTTTCTGCTTTCGGGTGATGTTTTCTTGGTTGAAGTTCTGCAGGTCTCCGACGGTAAGATGGGGTTAGAAAGGGCTGCGAGCACAACTACTCAGAGAAAAAAACTAAACCTCCAAGTTCAGAGGTTCAGGCGTGAAACATGTAAGGCTCAGGGGTACACCCTGGCCTCCATCAACCGCGTGCTCTGCACAATGCACACTGTACACTTTGAAGAAGCCCTGATGCGCTACCAAGTACCAGCAATGATACTAACGCTGAATGGAGATTCTGTCTTTAGCTGCCTACAGCCGGGTGTCGGCTTGCTGGGGCCGAGCGCCTGGAGCTGCTAGCAGGCTCTGTTCTGCGACTGCGTATGTAGGTAACTACAACCCCAAATGCACAAATACACGAAACATAAGTGTATACACTGGTTGCACACTTGCTTCTATTGATTCTATTAATCGCAGCATTTGCCATGCACGTGCACTCGGTTGTTCCAAACTACAGGCTGGTGCGACAGCCAAACCCCAGAAGCTTCACTGCACCCCCGAGCTGAACACCCCAAAAGACGAAATCACAAAGTCCTACACCATTGAGAAACCGTAAAGGATCCACCACACATGCGAGCCAGGAGCTGGGTCTTCTCGCAGCACCACGCCTTTCAGTCCGAACTCCCACCTAACACCCCCGACAACTAACCTTCGCCTGCCAGCCCGGAGAGCCTCAGTGCCTTGTTCTAAAACCACAAAGACCGGCCGCACTGAGCCCACAATACACAAAGCTCGGTGGACTCGGGGCCGGTTTTGGGCTTCGGCTGTACGGATTAGGCGGCAGGGCGGGGATTCAGCGCTCATCATCATCATCATGATCGTCATCTTGACCATCGTCATCTTCACCATTATCATTATCACCCTTCAGCATCATCATCGCCTGGAGGTTCGGGAGTTCAAGGATGTGGGTCGGCAGGCGGGCTGCAATCTAGAACACTCCCCGACCCGACCCCCAAACCCCAAGCCCGACATAAGACATTATGTTGACACCTGCCTTCTTGGAAAACGACCAAGTGTGCTGCCAAGACAGCCAGTTGGCGTTGCCTTGGTACTGCAAGCCTTATGTCGGGTGTCTGAACTAAGATTCTGTTTTTGGGCGGCTTTAGAACAAGGACTCTACTGCTCACCTGTATTGGGTCTCCCTTCTGAAACTCATTATCACTTCCAACCCCGTAGGCCTTGTTCTCAACCTTCGTCACCTTCCGCCACAAAGCTCTACGTCGCTCCAATCATACAACCTCTGAGACTGGGCCGAACTGCTGCACTGAAGTCGTGTTTGGGCCTGAAGATGCGCCCGCTTAAACCCGTCAGGGATCCAGTCTTATGTTTTCAAAGTACGACAGCAACTATGCTGACTCCTTATCCCATCTCCTGCGATAGCAAAATCTTCCGTCCAGGACCCCAAACACTGCATCTTCACCAAGAGGTATGTCCGGACAGCTGGAGCGAAAACCACTACAAATCCTGAGATCTTGGAACCCAAGGCCAGCTGCAGTCATACGGATCGCAGGCACGGTTGTGGTGCACGCCTTGGCTCACACAGAGCTGCGCATGCTTCGTATGGGAGCATGCAAGCTCACGATACGGGAATTGTTTAGGTCGACTGCATCAGCTGGCTGTAATCGCTGCTGCTGCGTGTACGACCGCTTGGGGGCCTCCGACCCGAGGTAGAGATCTGTGACAACCGTATCCTGTAATGAAATACAGGAAGCCACACCTGAAGCACGGGTGGCTTCCGAGCTTCAGCTTTCAACCCTCAGCCCCCGAACCACAAAGATCTGTGTCCAAGAGGGCTACAACTTGACCTGGCTATGTCTGTTGCACGCTTTTTTTCCTTCGCCTAAACCTTTCTAGACTCCAAAACTCGCCTTGCGAGAGGCTCGCAGGTCGGCTGGGTTAGGGTCCAGGGTTGGGATTACCTGTATACTCTCTGTCTGCAGACGACTTCTGGCATCCCGTAGAGCGATGCACCTGCTTCTTGCTGAAACCGAAACCCATTCACCGAAACAACCGGTCGCCAGTACTAATTAGCCCCCGAATCCCAAACCCCAAGCACTCAAAACTTCATTCTACACCCTAGCAATCCCTAGTACCAGACTCATAGTAATATCGCTGCTGCATTACCATTGCAGCGACATACTCTTTTTTTGAAACTACTCGTTCTTACTATAGAAATGATCAACGCTATAGCTTTTAATTTTATGTTCTATGTCAACTGCTGTTCCTACTCTTCAGTTGTTATGAGAGCCAAGTCAAGATGCAGCACCATCGCTTCTTGGAAGTCGTCCAGCCCCTGATCCGAGGGTGTCATACAGACTCCCGGAAGCAGGAGCTGGACAAGGGTGGCGGCTTTAGGGTTCTGGGCGCCGGTTGCAAAATAAAGCGCTGATTAGTGTGGGGGCTCCTAGAATGCAAAGTTTGCCCGTTCCTATTTTCGCTTTGCCGGGCCCCTACAATGAAAAGCTTTTCCCGCCTATTCTATACTTTCTACCACCATCTCGTACTACTACGTACTAACCCTACTCCCCAAACCTTCCGCAGCGCGCCCTGGGCGCAACATTATTGAGTCACTTGCGTTTGGTTTTTTGGGGACCCCCCATGCTATGCAATCCCTTACATTGCGAGGTCGAGGTCTTGGGGGTAGTTAGGACGTGGGGTTTTGGGTTTCGGTTTATGAAGTTTAAGGACTCGGGTCGGGGTTAGGGTATGTGTACACGTATGTTTGTGTATATGTATACACATACATGTATGCATACGTAGATAATACAAGCAACACCGGACAGGCGCCCAGATGCAGGGCGAAACAGAGTGACCATAAGTACAGACCCCCGGCTGGGTCGAGGGATTCGCTAGTTCCGAGTCTTGCAGTTAGTTGAAGTTTTGACATGCTTTCGGGTGGCCAAATCCAAAAATTTGCAACGCAGGTTTTGCGAGGATATAAGGTTGGATCATTGTCCAAGTCATGATATTTCGGAGGAGTTGATGTTCAACACGTGCGTTTTCCCACAGAGAAATGTATATTTTTAGGCATCTCACTCTTAATCGAAGGAGAGGCGTCTGTTTAAGTGCAAGAGTTCAAGTCTTTGCCGGCAGAAAACTCTTGTTGATTATGCAGTCTCGGGGAACGGGTGCTGTTTGCCTTCACGATACAATGATGAGTAGGTGCAGGACTTCCTTGTGTTTTCTGATGAACCTGCAATGAGTCATGTAGGGGAGTGTACATAGTGGCGTAAAGACTGTACAGGATAGCACTGTGCTACATCCGCAAGCAAACCAAAAATAGAAAAGACAGATTATCCCTCTGACCTCAAGAACAAAACAACACAGGACTCAGAAAGAAGGAGGTGAATCACAAAACAAGAACGTCATTCCTCCATCCAGGAAGCACGAAACAAGAACGAAACTACCTTCCCCCACGATGAGGAAACACGAAGCAATAATGTCGTTTTAACTGCTCGTCTTCGGAGGCCTGTCTACCTGTAAAGACCCAGAACCACCCGGCCCTGGAGTGCGAGCCCACCGCCCCTAAGGCAGAGAAAGCTCTAAACCCTCAAGCCCGAAAGCTCCAGAGCTTCGGAACCTTTCCCAGTTCTCGTAGTCGGCATCGCAGTCGAAAGGATTCTGCAGACTCCCAGCGAGCCTGGGTGCCACGGAAGCTAATCAGGAGTATGTTACATGTTTCTCAGACTTGCGGGCTTTTGGGAAGGGGATGAAGGTTTCGGGTTTCTGCAGTTCATAAGACTGAGGGCATCTTTCTTGATAATTCGCTGCTAGGGTTACACAACCTCAGTAGCAATAGGAGTCGCGGGCTTGAAGTGTGTAGAAGCCTGCTGCTGTCCGGGGAAAGGTAATCTAGGGGTGCAGGGTTTCGGGCTACTGTACCTAAGTTTCAATGGAAAGGTAAAGCCAGTGTAGAAGCATCTCGTATCACCGCAAAACCACACCAAACATTTTCTGACCGATCCGGATGGCCTAAATCTATAAAACTAAAACTCCACACATCAGCACTCAACAAGTCGTAAGGTTTGGTGAAATGCCTGCGGCGAGCTGTTGAAGTTTGGGGCAACGCCCTACAGTCTAACCTCTACACACCTCCTTATCCTCCTTGGTACTGACGGAGTTCCATGTCTACAGTGCCTTGCCATTGTGGCGCGGTTTTTCCCAAGACAATCCGCAATTCAACTCAAGCTGCATCGTAGGAATGCCTCTGAAGGCCTCATAGCCCAACGCGGAGGTGCCTTCGCGACCCCCAGACGGAATCCATAATCCTGAACCACCTCCAATCTGAACACAAGCTAAACACATGATTCTGCGGAACATGTCGTCGAGTAGTATTATCTTCAGCTCTGATACTGTCAGACCAAGGCCAAGCTTTATAGTGTGGGGGTTTACAACTAAGACTTAGCGCAGTAATGCCATTTGCGATAGGCAACGCTAAGCTCCAGTCACTAGTTAAGGCCTTCCGAACCGGTCCCACCTCACAGAAAATCCCGGACATCCGGGCAACCAGATTTAGAAATCCCTGAGCCCGATTGCTTGCACCGCTGCGCTTCAAGCCTGTCTTGGTTCATCCCAAATTGCAGCCTACGTTCTACAGGGCACACGCTTTGAGCACTTAAGCCTCGAACCCAAAATCCTCAGGCAAAAGTAATCCTCACCCGCAACACTCTGGTGGAGCGACTCCTCTGGGCAGCCTTTGCCGAAGCGGTCGCAACACCAGCGCTTCTTCCTGCGCATGTATACATAAAGATACAAATAAAAACATGAACGACAAAACAAATAATAATAATAATAATAATCATCATCATCATCAGCATGATAAAAATTATAATACTAATATCAAAAATAATACTAAGTTCAAAAAATACTAATATTCTAAACAATAACAATAAAATACATATATATATATGTGTGTGTGTAGAAACTGTATATATATATATATATGTATATATGCTCGCCCCCCCCCCTTGATCCACTATTGGTGGTTCTCGGGAGTGCGGGGAACACGCACAGTGTAACTGAAATTGTTGCAAACCGGAAGTCTGTTGCTGCGCTGTTGTACTGTAAGATATGTGATGTCGTGTGTTTTATTGTCTGTTCACGTAGACCAAGGTCCTTACACGTCATGCCTTCAGACGGAAAGTTCATATTATCTTGCTTCGCAGCTTCAGGTTTATGGGGCATTTAAGCGATGTAAACAGGCCTGAAAACGTAGAATGGGTCTTTATTAACATAGT